TTCCTGCTTCTTGGCAGAATGGGGGTGGACTGGATGGCCCATGAGGTCTCTTCCAACTCTTTGATTCTATGAATGGGAGGATTGAGCCGGGAGGGAGAAGTGAGAAGTGAAAGAAAGGAGAAAGCTTGGATTGTGTGTGTGTGTGTGTGTGTGTGTGGATGTTCACTTCCATTTGACTGGTCAACTCTAAAACCCACGATGCAGATCAGCCTGGTGTGGCACTCAACTATTGCACCCCCCCCCCCCCCCCCCCCAGTGTTATTCTGCAGATGGAACTATTGTATTTTAATCTCATTGTTTCTAGTGTCTGATTGGAATATAGTTTTTTGGGCACTGAGCCTCAACTGTATATATACACAAACACATATACACCTTTGTTTTGAGCCCCCATGCCCCCCCCCCCCCCGATCACGCTCTGTGCCTCACCGGAGGGTGCTCAGCGTCTCCTCGTAGTTGATGTCGGCTGGACTGAGTGCTGCAATCATGGCCGTGCGGGAATTGCCTCCTGGGAAAGAGGTCGAAAACAGGGAGGGAAAATGAGCAGAAGCCTCCTGGAAATCATGGTAAATCTAACCATGTTTTTTTTAGCCGCTGCCTTTGGAAGCAAGGATATTTCCAGCCAGGTTTCCTAGGATGTAGAAATCTCTCTCTCCCCATTCCCTGACGAAGAACCATTGCCCTGCTGGCTGCTGGGTCGTTGGCTGGGTGGGGTCACAGGCCAGCCGGTGGCAAAAGCTCCCCATAGAAGAGAGAAAGCGTGAACAAGGCAGGGAGCTTCCTTTGTCCCCAGTGCATGATTTATTTATTTATTTGCAGCATTTCTATACCGCTTTTCTCACCCCGAGGGGGACTCAAAGCGGTTTACACATAGATAATGGCAAAAATTCAATGCCTTACAACTACAATACTAAAACCACACTTTAAACATCAATCATATTCAAAACAGTACATCACCAAACATCAAAACAGTTATTAAAACCATAAAACAGTCTCATCAGTCGAGTCGCCGTTCCAGTCCTTGTCCCACTAAAAGCTGCATACATCTATTGTCCGAAGGCCTGGTCCCAGAACCATGATTTTAATTTTTTTTTCTAAAGGTCAGGAGTGAGGGAGCAGGTCTTTCTTCCTTTGGGAGTGTGCTCCATAGGCGGGGGGCCACAGATGAGAAGGTCCTGCTCCTCATCCCTGCCAGCCGCATTTGCGCTGTTGACGGGAGCAAGAGCAGGGCCTCCCCAGATGATCTTAGATTACGAGATGGGACGTAGGGGCGGATGCGTTCGGACAAGTAAGCTGGGCCTGAACCATATAGAGCTTTATAGGTCAAAACCATCATGTTGAATTGGGTCAGAGATGGACCGACAGCTGGCGTAACAGCGGGGTGGTATGCTCCCTGTATGTCGCCCCGGTTAGTAATCTGGCTGCCATCCGTTGAACTAACGGAAGTTTCTGAACCGTCTTCAAAGGCTGCCCCACGTAGGGTGCGTTGCAGTAATCTATTTGGGATGTAACCAGAGTGTGGACCACCGTGGCCAGATCATACACTCCACATCCTTCCTTCATGGTTACCCCTCCACCCTGGAAAAAGCCTGCTTTTGGACTCACCCAAATTCTCTTTCAGGAGCCAGGTGAGCACCGAGTCCCGGTAGGGGATGAATTCAGACTTCTTCTTCTTATTGTTTTGCTGGGAAGGAGAGGCAAGGCATTCGTGAAAATAATAATAATAATAGAATCAAATCATAGAATCAAAGAGTTGGAAGAGACCTCCTGGGCCATCCAGTCCACCCCCATTCTGCCAAGAAGCAGGAATATTGCATTCAAATCACCCCTGACAGATGGCCATCCAGCCTCTGTTTTAAAGCTTCCAAAGAAGGAGCCTCCACCACACTCCAGGGCAGAGAGTTCCACTGCTGAACGGCTCTCACAGTCAGGAAGTTCTTCCTCATGTTCAGATGGAATCTCCTCTCTTGTAGTTTGATAATAATAATAATAATAATAATAATAATCTTTATTTCTACCCCGCCACCACCTCCCCAAGGGGACTCGGGGCAGCCGACATGAGGCCAAGCCCAACAGTACATCAATGCAAATAAACAACATACAACGACAGTAAAATATAAAATACAAAAATTAAAATACAAGAAACAATATAAATAAACATAAAGAATGTAAAATCACAATAAACACAGAAAATAAATCACAGTGGGCAGGGCCAATAGTAAGGATTAAAAATGTAAAAACACTGGGTGAGAAGGCAATGTATTGTATCTGGAGAGGGGATCAGAGGGCTTAATTGCACTATTAGGTGGAAAATAAAGTGCTTCCGAGGACCATATTTTGCAAAGTTTGGTCAGGCCAGAGGTTATAGTTCAGGCACAAACCATGGACATATGCAGGCATGGGCCAACTTCAGCCCTCCCACAATTCCTAATGGCCAGTGGCCCATGTCTGCACAAAACATGTCAAGCATGGTGGCATGAACCACGAGGAAGCAGGCCGATAAGGGGGGGTTGGCTCAGGCCAAAGTCCATTCACAGCTCTGAAGATCTTGCAGAGTTGGAAGGCCTTGAGTTGGAAGACCCACAAACAAGCCCCAAGGAGCCCCACTCACCATCTCGGCCAGGGCAGAGATCACTTTGCCCAGAGTAGTCAGGGACTTGTTGATGTTGGCTCCCTCCTGGAAAGAGTTTGGGGACAGGGGAGGAAGAGAGGTAATGAGAGTAAAACACACACAGAGAAGGAAAATGCAGAGATGGCGAGAGAAGTCTTGGTAGTGGAGACCCCTGCCCTCCCCCCCACAAATGAGTGGGATCTCTCACCTTTAACCTCATGCCCTTTGCTCCGGAGGAATCCGCCCGCTCGCTTCCCGCCAGGTCCACAAGGCTGATTTTGCTGACCTGAGATGGAAGGAGAGATGGGACAGAGGAGTTTTTGTGTGCCGGGAGTGGTGCATGGGGGTCTTCCTTCTTGTTAATGTGCCCGAGAGAAGATCGAAGGCCCCACTGGCACGGAGAGTGAGGGGTCGGACACCACAGCCAGAGGACAGGACAACATCCTCAGCATGGAGGAGGCTGCCCCCCCATCCCATGCTCCCCTTGCCCAGGAATGGATCCTAGAATCCTAGAGTTGGAGGAGATCTGGTGGGCCATCATGCAGTCCAACCCCATTCTGCCAAGAAGCAGGACAATCTCATTCAAAGCACCCTAACAGATGGCCATCCAGCCTCTGCTTCAAAGCCTCCAGGCTGCCCATTGATGGGGCTGCCCCACTTCTCACCTTCTCCGTGTCCAGGTCGGTCAGTTCGTCGTGGCGCCGCTGCGTGAAGACAATGGTGAAGACGGCGTGGGAGCGACTGCTGGTCTCATTCATGTTGGTGGCAGCGACGGTCCTGCAGAGAATATAAAATAGTGTGTGTGTGTGTATAGATAGATATAGATATATATAGATATATATATATGGAAGGAATCAATTGATTTCCAATTAGTTTAGTACAATTTGATGTTTTCACGCAGGACTGGAACAAAGACAGTGTTGGCACCCAATAGCCATTAGGAAACTCCATGAATCTCCCCAATCCCTTCCCAGAGCGCCTTGTGGTAGTGAGTCCCACAGTTTAACTGCCCCATGTTGCCTCCCTTTCACTCCCAGGTGCCTTGCTAATGTATTTGGTGCACCATATTTGTGTCCCTTGGTAGAAGCGTGACCTCAGTAGAGGTCGTACCTGGCTTTGTTGCCACAGTCCATGAGGTCGGCGATGTCTTCGTAGGAAGTGACGGCGAGTTTGGAGAGGTCTTCCACGTAGGGCCCCATGATGGGGTGTTCCCTCACGCGCAGGTTGCCCCGGCTCTTGGGGTTCAGGAGGTCACGCACACGCTCGCAGTAGATCTCCATGTAGCTCACCTGGGAGAGAGACGGAGAGAGAGGCAGGTAAGGACATTAACATGGAGCTGGGAGTGCCTGGGAGACAGATAGATCAGGCATGGGCCAACTTTGGCCCTCCTCCAGGTGTTTTGGACTTCAACTCCCACAATTCCTAACAGCCTACCGGCTGTTAGGAATTGTGGGCGTTGAAGTCCAAAACACCTGGAGGAGGGCCAAAGTTGGTCCATGCCTGGGATAAGATGCGTACATGGGAAATGGGGGTCTTACCTCTACGGAGTGGGAGAGGTTGGGAGACTTGTTTTCGTTCACTCGGGCAAAAAGGTCTTCGCAGAGCTGGACAGAGAAAAGCAGGAAGGAACAGGTCAGTCGGGAGAAGGGAAGCGGGGGAGGGGGGGAAGGGGGGCACCCCTCTCCTTGCTCTCCTGCCCTGTCTTTGAGATCAGCCTCCCCCTGATGCGCAGGCCCAGCACCATAGTTGTGTCCCTTGGCCACAGCCGTTCCTTTCTTTACTGTAAGACTGTAGGATCTATATAGCAATATTAAATAACCACTCACAAGCCAGTTCTGCTTTGAAATGGATATATTGCTTGTATCTCTGCAGCAAAGGAAGACACTACTGACTTTTTCCCACCACGCCCTCTGCTGGTTTCAAAATGATAATATATTATAATTATATACTTTATATTACATGCAATATTACTAATAATATTACAGTATAATGGTATAGTACAATATAGTAATATATACTACTAATATTGTGCTATGGTAATAATATAATAAATTGTATTTACATATTACTTGTAAGCTGCACTGAGTCCCCTTCAGGGTGAGAAGGGCGGCATAGAACTGTTGTAAATAACTAAATAGTGACCCCCCACCCTGATGAGGCAACGGTCCCCCAAGAAGCCCCTTTGCGCGCCCCTCTTTTGTGGCCCACCTGGGGGATGATGCCCTGCTGGTCTGCCTCCTGCTTGCCCATCATGGTGTAGGACTTGCCGGCCCCGGTCTGGCCGTAGGCGAAGATGCAGACGTTGTAGCCCTCGAAAGCGTGGAGCAGCATCTCTTCACCAATGTCTTTGTAGACCTGCCTCTGGGAGGCAAAGTTGGGGTCCTCCTCCTGGAAGGGAAAGCAAGACGGCGGGTGCCGGGTTCAAGGGATGCTCCTGCTCTATGCAATCAGGCCACTCTGACCCCAATTTAACCCCCCTCGCAGAATTCCCTGCCAGAGAGACATCGGCATTGCTTAAGGTGGCTTGCAAGCACCCTTCCTGGAAAACTGTGGGAGATTTACACACCCCGTGCTCCTTGGTGGGGATCCCATGCCTGCCCCTGGTGCAAGGCTCACGTTCAGTTCCTGTTTACACAACTGTGGGCCCTCCATGGTCATCTCTCCAGCTTCACTGTGTGTGGAGGGATGGCTTTCGTGTGGCAGGGATGTCATGTGACAGAGGAGCAAAAGCAATTCCCCCCATTCCCAAATTGCTGGCCAGCTTTTGCTTTGAGAGAATGGGATTTTAGAAGAATGAAGTTTGAAGAAAGTTGGAAAAGGAGAGATTGAGACAGGAAGGAAGAGGGGATGGAGGAGGACTTGAAATAGAAAGATGAAACTCTTTGGTACTCAAAACACTGAGATAAAAATGGGGGAAAGGTTCTCAGGAGGACTGTGTGACCCGGGGGGGGGGGGGGGGAGGGAGAGAGAGAGAGAGAAAGGAAGAGAAGAAAGAAAGAGAAAGAAAGAAAGAGGGAAAGAAAGAAAGAAAGACAGACAGACAGACAGAAAGAAAGAAAGAGAGAGAGAGAGAGAGAGAGAGAGGAAAAGAAAGAAAGAAAGAAAGAAAGAGTGAGGGGAAGGAAAGAAGAAAGGAAAGAAAGAAAGAAAGAGAGAAAGAAGAAAGAAGACAGAAAGAAAAAAAGAGAGGAAAAGAAAGAAAGAAAAAGGGAAGAAGACAGAAGAAAGAAAGAAGAAAGAAGAGAGAGAAAGGAAGAGAAGAAGAAGTAAGAAGGAAGAATGAAGTGATGAGAGAGAGAGAGAGAGAGAGGAAAAGAAGAAAGAAAGAAATAAAGAAGAAGGAGAGAGAGAGAGAAGAGAGAGAGGAAAAGAAAGAGAAAGAAAGAAAGAAAGAAAGAGTGAGGGGGGAAGGAAAGAAAGAAAGAAAGAAAGAGAGAGAGAGAGAAAGACAGACAGACAGACAGAAAGAAAGAAAACGAGAGGAAAAGAAAGAAAGAAAGGGAAAGAAAGACAGACAGAAAGAAAGAAAGAAAGAAGAAGGAAAAAGAAAGAAAGAAGAAAGAGAGAGGAAAAAGAAAGAAGAAGAAAGGAAAGAAAGAGAGAAAGAAGAAAAGAATGGAAGAAGGAAAAGAAAGAAAGAAAGAAAAGAAAGAGAAGAGAAAGAAAACGAGAGGAAAAGAAAGAAAGAAAGGGAAAGAAAGACAGAAAGAAAGAAAGAAAGAAAGAAAGAGAGAGGAAAAGAAAGAAAGAAAGAAAGAAAAAGAAAGACAGACAGAAAGAGAGAGAGAGAGAGAGAGAGAGAGGAAAAGAAAGAAAGAAAGAAAGAAAGAAAGAAAGTCAGAAAGAAAGAGCTGGCAACTGAGAGCTCAGCAGGAAGGAGTGAGAGAGAGGAAGGAATGCATAGAATCCTAGAATCCTAGAGTGAATTCCTATGCACACTAAACATGAATGAATTCCTATGCACACTGCACATATCTTATTTGTAGTGTAAAAAACACTTTAAAACAACACAACAATTAAAATGAAGAACATTTTTAACAAATATACACTTATTAGTATTTCAATGTGAAGTGTGGGCCTGCTTTTGGCTGATAAGATAGGAATGTTGTTGTTGTGGTGGTGGTGGTGGTGTGCTTTCAAGTTATTTTAGACTTAGGTTGACCCTGAATGAGGGCCGCGTAAATGACCTTGGAGGGCCGTATCTGGCCCCCAGGCCTTAGTTTGAGGACCCCTGATCTAAGTCATGAATGAAGATCCTGAGCAGGACCGGGCCCAGCAATGAGCGGAACTGTGAAGAGATTACAAGAGGACTGAACTGTGCGCATGTTCAAAAAGTTCTGACTACAGAACCAAACTACACATCTCAGTGGTGTGGCTCTTCTGTGCCAATCACCTGATGGCTTTGCTTTGCAAATTAAAGCTGTTGCATTTAATTCTCCTCATATCTAGTATCTGATTGGAACAGAGATCCTAGCTCGGGGCTTGCAGGAGCCTCAACAAAAAGGAGTCTGCAAATGCCATTGGAGAGATTTCCCTGCTGCCCTTCCAAAAGCCCAAAGGTTGACTTGGAGTGACAACGTATTGCTTCTGGTCACCCAAAATGGCACTGTGACGGCACCTGTGAAGGAGCTCAAATGGTCAGAGGAGTCAAAAACAGGATGGGATGGTGACCTCCCCACCAAATCCTCCAGGATCAGTTCAGGGCCCACGTTATCCCATTGTGAATCCCCCCAAGGGTATCCCTCCCTCCCTTTGGCATTGGCCACGCTTCTCTCCCAGGTTCTTGGGGGTGGGTTGCCATCCAGAAACTCACCGAGGTGTGAGACCAGTAGGAATAGTCGAAGGTGAAGCTCTTGAGGGTGTCTTTGGCCTGCTTGGGGTTGGCGATGCCTGCACAAGCAAGGAGAGAAAGGGAGCAAAACAATATCATTGCTATACCTGTCGCTGTATGGCTATATGGCGATGTTCAAGAGGCATTCTCTCCTGACGTTTCGCCTGCATCCTCTGAGGATGCTTGCCATAGATGCAGGCAAAACGTCAGGAGAGAATGCTTCTAGAACATGACCATACAGCCCGAAAAAACTTACAACAACCCAGTGATTCTGGCCATGAAAGGCTTTGACAATACAGATCTGATGGTGGTCAAGCAAGTAGAATAGACATACCTGTGGAATGTCCAGGGTGGAGGAAAGAACCATTGTCTATTAACCAAGTGTGCAGGGTGCAATTAGCAATCCTGATTTGCAAGTATCTAAGTGGGATCCATCCAGTGAAGGCCACTCAGACAAAGGATGCCTCCAGGCAACAAACACAACAAGGGCCTGGCTACTTCCAGGCAGATGATAGATGCCTTCACTATTGACTATGCAATCTTCTCAGTTACTCCCATGCTAATGGGTGGGTCCCACTCACACACTTGCAAATCTGGCTTGCTAATTGCACCCTCCACACTTGTATAACAGACATTGGTTCTTTCTCCCACCCTGGACACTCCACTTGCTTTACCACCATCGGATTCTGAAGATGTCACTCACAGATGCTGGCAAAACATCAGGAGAAAATGCTGCTAGAATAGGCATGTGCGAACTTGGGCCCTCCAGGTGTTTTGGAGTTCAACTCCCACCATTCCTAACAACCTCAGGCCCTTTCCTTTTGCGAGTTTGGTAGTTGATTAAATGTCCTTTGACCAGTATCTGGCCCTTGGAGTGCCTCTGGTGTTGCTGCAAGAAGGTCCTCCCTTGTGCATCATGTGGCAGGGCTCAGGTTGCATTGCAGCAGGTGGTCAGTGGTTTGCTCTTCTCCCCACTCGCATGTCGTGGATTCCACTTTGTGGCCCCATTTCTGAAGGTTGGCTCTGCATCTCGTGGTGCCAGAGCGCAGTCTGTTCAGCGCCTTCCAAGTCGCCCAGTCCTCTGTGTGCCCAGGGGGGAGTCTCTCATTTGGTATCAGCCATTAGTTGAGGTTCTGGGTTTGAGCCTGCCACTTTTGGACTCTCGCTTGCTGAGGTGTTCCAGCGAGTGTCTCTGTAAACTATGTCTAGATTTAAGTCCCTTAATGAGACATACTGGTTTATCACAGGGTGTCTGCGCCCTACACCACTGGAGAAACTACACTGTCTAGCCGGTATTGCACCACCTGACATCCGCCGGGAAGGAGCAGCCAATAGTGAAAGGACCAAGGCAGAGACATCTCCAGCTCATCCCCTGTTTGGGTATCAGCCAGCACGTCAACGACTTAAATCAAGACATAGTTTTCTAAGATCTACAGAGACACTCGCTGGAACACCCTAAGCGAGAGTCCAAAAGTGGCAGGCTCAAACCCAGAACCTCAATCAATGGTTGATACCAAATGAGAGACTCCCCCCTGGGCACACAGAAGACTGGGCGACTTGGAAGGCGCTGAACAGACTGCGCTCTGGCACCACGAGATGCAGAGCCAATCTTAAGAAATGGGGCTACAGGGTGGAATCCACGACATGCGAGTGTGGAGAAGAGCAAACCACTGACCACCTGCTGCAATGCAACCTGAGCCCTGCCACATGCACAAGGGAGGACCTTCTTGCGGCAACACCAGAGGCACTCCAAGGGGCCAGATACTGGTCAAAGGACATTTAATCAACTACCAAGTTTGCAAAATCTGTGTGTTTTTTTCCCCCTTTTTCTTTTTAATCTGTGTGTTTGTTTTGTTCTGTTAGAATTGTAACACAATGGTATGGTTGCTGATGACACGATAAATAAATACCATGTTATTATTATTATCTTGTTATATTGTGTCTTTGCTGGTGGTCGATGGCCCTCCACCATCAACTCCGCTGGACCGGCCACATTGTCCCGATGCCCGACCACCGTTTCCCAAAGCAGTTGCTCCACTCTGAACTCAAGAACGGAAAACAGAATGTTGGTGGGCAGGAAAAGAGATTGAAATATGGGCTCAAAGCCAACCTTAAGAACTCTGGCATAGGCACTGAGAGAGACTGGGAAGCACTGGTTCTTGAGCGCTCCAGCTGGAGGTCAGCTGTGACCAGCAGTGCTGCAGAATTCTTTCAGTGGGGTTTTCTTGGGACTCCTCCGTTCTTTTCCCCTAAAATAGTGCCTGATTGCCATTTATTAGGCTGCTTTTGCTGTTTTCCCGATGATCCGAAATGCCAGAAATGCTGCAAGTTTGGTAACCCAGCCATTAGTTGAGGTTCTGGCTTTGAGCCTGCCACTTTTGGACTCTCGCTTGCTGAGGTGTTCCAGCGAGTGTCTCTGTAAACTATGTCTAGATTTAAGTCCCTTAATGAGACATGCTGGTTTATCACAGGGTGTCTGCGCCCTACACCACTGGAGAAACTACACTGTCTAGCCGGTATTGCACCACCTGACATCCGCCGGGAAGGAGCAGCCAATAGTGAAACGACGAAGGGAGAGACATCTCCAGCTCATCCCCTGTTTGGGTATCAGCCAGCACGTCAATGACTTAAATCTAGACTTAAACTCCCAAATGACAGCATCAATCTCCCCTTCAACCCCACTAGAATTCAGATTTGGGCGTATCAGGCATTTGTGCTGAATTTGGTCCAGTGAATGATAATAATCCTGCATATCAGGTACTTACATGACAATTCATAACAGCAGCAAAATTACAGCTGTGAAGTAGCAACAAAAATAATGTGATGGTTGGGGGTCACCACAACATGAGGAACTGTATTAAGGGGTCGCAGCATTAGGAAAGTTGAGAAACACTGACCCTATTGTGACTCCTGGAGTCTACTCATATGCAATAAAGAATAGGACATTCATTATCATTCATGGACTATTACTCAGGTGAAGGTTTTGTTTCATACTTCAAGAGAAGAACCAGTTGTTTCTGCTTAATGTGAATGTGGCACCTCTGTGTTTTGTTGATATGTGTATTTGTAATGTATAGGTAAAGGTAAAGGTAGTCCCCTGACATTAAGTCCAGTCATGTCTGACTCTGGGAGTTGGTGCTCGTCTCCATTTCTAAGCCGAAGAGCCAGCGTTGTCCGGAGACACCTCCAAGGTCATGTGGCCAATGGCATGACTGCATGGAGCGCCGTTACCTTCCCGCAGGAGCGGTACCTATTGATCTACTCACATTTGCATGTTTTTGAACTGCTAGGTTGGCAGAAGCTAGGGCTGACAACGGAAGCTCACGCCACTCCCTGGAATCGAACCTGCGACCTTTCGATCAACAAGCTCAGCAGCTCAGTGCTTTAATCCACTGCGCCATCAGGGGCTCCCTGGTGTATACATTGAGTTAATTTAGATACTTTCACATTACCACAATCAGTGGATTTTGGTCTCCACAGTTTTAGGGGAACCCATTTTTCTTTTCAGTGCCTAAGCTTGCCCATGCCTGTACCACAATGCAGCCCTGCCACACGCACAATGGAGGATCTTCTCACAGCCACACCAGAGGCACTCCAAGCGGCCGGCTTCTGGACAAAGGACATTGAGTAGGATGCCAAGTTTGTAACTTTGTTTGTGGTTTTTCTATACATTAGGACTGTATTCTAATTTTGCTTATAACATGTCCCAGCTCCACTGGCTGCCGATCTGCTACCGGGCCCAATTTAAGATGCTGGTGTTATCCTACAAAGCCCTAAACCAGTGTTTCTCAACCTTCCTAATGCCGTGACCCCTTAATACAGTTCCTCATGTTGTGGTGACCCCCAAACATAGAATAATTTTTGTTGCTACTTCATAACTGTAATTTTGCCATTGTTATGAATTGTAATGTAAATATCAGATATGCAGGATGTGTTTTCATTCAATGGACCAAATTTGGTACAAATACCCAATACACCCCAATTTGAATATTGGTGGGCTTGGGGGAGAGTTGTCATTTGGGAGTTGTAGTTGCTGGGATTCATAGTTCACCTACAATCAAAGAGTATTCTAAACCCCACCAACAATGGAATTGAACTAAACTTGGCACACAAAACTCCCATGACCATCAGAAAATACTAGAAGGGTTTAGTGGGCATTGACCTTGAATTTTCGAGTTGTAGTTCACCTACATCCAGAGAGCACTGTGAACTCAAAGAATGATGGATCTGGACCAACCTTGGCATGAATACTCAATACTCAATATGGTCAAATGTGAACGCTGGTGGAGTTTGGGGAAAATAGACCTTGACATTTAGGAGTTGTAGTTGCTGGGATTTATAGTTCACCTACAATAAAAGAGCCCCTTGAACCCCACCAATGATAGAATTGGGCCAAACTTTCCACACAGAACCCCAATGCCCAGCAAAAAAAAATACTGTGTTTTCAGATGGTCTTTGGCGACCCCTCTGACACCCCCTCGCGACCCCCCCAGGGGTCCCGACCCCCAGGTTGAGAAACACTGCCCTAAACGGTTCCGGCCCAAAATACCTTTCGGACCGCATCTCGGCCTATGAGCCCACAAGGGCCTTGAGATCGTCTGGGGAGGCCCGTCTCTCGATCCCGCCTGCCTCACAGGCACGTCTGGCAGGGACGAGAGAGAGGGCCTTCTCAGTGGTGGCCCCCCGGCTGTGGAACGCCCTCCCTGTTGACATCAGACAGGCGCCCTCCCTTATGGCTTTCCGCAAGAGCTTAAAGACCTGGCTATTCGAGAAGGCATTCAATTGAGAGCTACACGAATCTGGTAATGACGACAGGAACGGATTATGGTTTATGAGTTTGGATATGATTCTATGCTTTGACGGTGCGGATTTGTTAATGTGATTTAGATTAATGTGTAATATGGTTGTGTTGATATATTGTGTGCTTTTGTAAATTGTTTTTATGTGTTGTACACCGCCGCGAGTCGCCCCGGGGCTGAGAGCGGCGGTCAACAAATGCAGAAAATAAATAAATAAATAAATAAATAAACATAAATAAATAAATCCCCATCCTCTGCAA